GCCTGACCCCATCAGTGCCGACCCAACTACACCACCACGCGCATGCCTCGCGGCGGATATGCGCAGCAGCAAGAAGGTTTCGGTCATCCCTTGAGGGTGAGTCTAGCCCTGCTCGCCAGAAAGACCCCCCCCTTTACTACAACCCATGTCTAAGCAAAAGCTTGTCGAGGAGCGAGGGGAAGAAGGGAGAAGAGTGAGCCGTCTTAAAAACTCAGGATGCGACACGAAAAGGCTAACAGACCAAGGTACACAAAAAAGATGGGAGTCAAGCGACATAACAAGACCGTACACACCCCTCAAGGTTACTCGGAGATATCAAAACAAGAAGGTACCACCTGTACACTAAGTGATCCGTTGATGCACCTTCGGAATTTCGCCCTAACTTCTCACGCTTATTTCCCGCATCCGACGTGTACCGTTTTCAGGAGGGTCACGACGTGGTACGGTACAAAAAACTGCAAGCCCTATTCCCTGGGCATTTCGCCTTTTCCTGTATTCACCAAGAACCACCGCCCGGTCAGGCCATTCGATTCGGCTAGGACGAATATGCTCTCCACGTTGGGGTAACCCACAGAGAGAGCGAGCCCTGGGGGGGTTCATGAGCGGCGGCTCGGACTGTACATGGTGGGATGGATCGGCCAACCGCCAAGGTCGTTCCCTGAGTCACACTTCCTTGTGCACCGCCGTTTCAGGCCACCGCATATTTTACCAGTGTGCTCTCGCCAACTCCAACAACAACAAAATAAAAATACCCTCCGTCCCGACTCAAAAACAACCAGCTAGGGAAACAATTACACCACGGCACGTGATGTACGAAGTGATTTCCTAAACCGTGAGGGGCGGCTTGCAACGGCGATGATGTTTGAGCTTCGCTCATATGGCTATTTTCATACTAGCTGAAGGCAGATATCGCGCACATTGAGCCCCCCTCTTACCACCACAACGTTGGTCGTTTTCAAGGCAACACAGGAAAAGTTGAATCCCCACCCGCGCACCACCATCCGCTCGTCATATCCAGGGCAAAACAGCAAAAACTTGG